CGAAATCGAGCCGTCAGGCGCTTGAATGCCACATTGCGTTCGAGATTTAAGCACGCGACGCATTTATGAGAAATTTGCGTCGCACGCGCTTTTGCCCGAATATCGAACGCAGTGTGGCATTCAGGCGCGTGCGGGTTCGAATTCGCAATTTCGAAAGGATTTCAATGGAATTCGCAACCAAATATAATATTTTTTGTCAAAATAAGGTTTTTCAAAAAAATGCGTGTCATGAGAAAATTGCGTCGCACACGCTTTCGCCTAAATCTCGAACGCAGTGCGGCATTCAAGCGCCTGACGGCTCGATTTCGCAAATTCGAAAAGATTTCAATGGAATTCGCAATTAAATAAATATTTTTTTTCAAAATGAAGTTTTTCAAAAACATGCGTATCATTTGCGTGCCGCCGTGTTCCCGGAGAGCTCAGGAGTTGCTATCGACCACTGCCGATGATAAAAAACTGCCGACGATAATAAACCTCAAGAGGTTGTGCTGAGGGGTTGTGCTGCAGGGTTGTGCTGGAGGGTTGTGCTGGAGGGTTGTGCTGGAGGGTTGTGCTGGAGGGTTGTGCTGGAGGGTTGTGCTGGAGGGTTGTGCTGGAGGGTTGTGCTGGAGGGTTGTGCTGGGGGGGTTGTGCTGAGAGAGAGAGAGAAGGGGGAAAAAAAAAATAAAAAGAAATATATTTTCAAATAATAAAAAAATAATAAAATATAATAATCATTCGCAGAAAAATAAAATATAAAACTATATAACTTAGAAAGAAGAAGAAGAATAGAAGAAGAATAAGAAGAAGAGAAGATATATAGAAAGAAAGACAGATAGAGGAGGAGGAGGAAAAGCAAAAATTTCAAGTTTCAAATCCATCAAATTTTATTTAGAAACGCTTTATGAAAATTGAGAGAGAGAGAGAGAGAGAGAGAAGAAGAGGAGATAATGAAAAGCAAGAGAGGAAGGAGAGGAGGAGAGGAAAGGAGAAGACAGGAGAGGAGCAAGAGGAGAGAGAGATAGAGAAACAGAGAGAGAAAAAAAGACAGAGAGGAAATAATAGTAATAAAAACAAAAAAACCTATCATATTTTCCATGGATAATCAACCCCAGGGATAAACAAGTTCAGGGGGGCATGGGGGGGGGGGAGAGAGACAGAGAGATAGAAAGAGAGAGAGAGAGAAGAAATAATGAAAATGAAGAGGAGAAGAAAAAATCAAGAGGAGAAGTAGAAGAGGAGAGGAAGAGGAAAAACAAAAAATTCAAGTTTCAAATCTATTATAGTTTATTTACAAACGCTTCATGTTTTTTTTTGTTTTATAAAGTGCTCGTGTAGGAGCTCATGTGCCTCACTTTCCGTGGATAATCAACCCAGGGATAAACAAGTTCAGGGCGCATGGGGAGAGAGAAAGATATAAAGAGAGAAATAAAGAAAACAAAGAGAGAGTTGAGGGAAATACATAAAATAAATATTAAAAAGGAAAGGACAATAAGAAATGAGGAGGAGAAGTAGAAGAGGAGAGGAAAGGAGGATAAAACAAAAAAACTGAAGATTCAAATATATTAAATTTTTATTTACAAACGCTTTATGAAAATTAAAATTTTTAAGTGCTCGTGTAGGGTAGCTCATGTGCCTCACTTTCCGTGGATAATCAACCCCAGGGATAAACAAGTTCAGGGGGGCATGGGGAGAGAGAGAGAGAGAGGAAAAAAAGAAAGAAATAAAGAACTATATATAGAAATACAAATATAAATTAAGAAAAAGAAGGAGAAGAGAAGAGGAAGAAAAAGAGCAAAAATTCCAAATTACAAATCTATTAGATTTAATGTACAAGCGCTTTCTGAAAATTGATTTTTTGAGTGCTCGTGTAGGGTAGCTCATGTGCCTCACTTGCCATGGATAATCAACACCATGGATAAACAAGTTCCGGGGGGGGGCATGGGGAGAGAGAGGAAAAAAAGAAAGAAATAAAGAAATATACAAAGAAAAACATATAACTTAAGAAAAAAGAAGGAGAAGAGAAGAGGAAGAAAAAGAGCAATCCTCGAGTATATGCTTGTTTCGCTTGAGACAACCTCGACAAGCTTCTCGAATCGCTTGAGACATCCTCGCAGAATTGCTGGTTTCGCTTGAGACATCCTTGAAACATTGCTCGTTTCGTTTGAGCTTGCCTCCCAAAATTCTTGGTTTCGCTTGAGACATCCTCACAAAATTGTTGTTTTCGCTTGAGACATCCTTAAGAAACGTATCGTTTCGCTTGAGACATCCTTCAGTATATGTTTGTTTCGCTTGAGACATCCTCGAGTATATGCTTGTTTCGCTTGAGACATCCTCGACAAGCTTCTCGAATCGCTCGAGACATCCTCGAGTATATGCTTGTTTCGCTTGGGACATCCTCGACAAGCTTCTCGAATCGCTCATCCTCACAGAATTACTGGTTTCGCTTGAGACATCCTTGAAACATTGCTCGTTTCGTTTGAGCCTGCCTCCCAAAATTCTTGGTTTCGCTTGAAACATCCTGGAAAAAAGTGTGATCGCGTCGCTTGATGTTGCTATTTCAACATAATTTGATCTTGCTATCTCAACATAGCGTTCCGAGGTGATAATGAAGTTTGGCCTCCGCGCCCCGCGCCCCGACCAAACTCTTATTGGTCGACGATAAAAAGCTCAAGCGACTTAAGGGGGGGGGGGGGGTACATTATTATCGTGGGCATGGGGTTACGCAACAACCACGGAACAACCACGGGACAACCACAGGAGAACCTCTGAACAACCGCAAAACAACCGCGGGACAACCACAAAACAACCGCAAGACAACCACGGGACAACCGCGGGACAACCCCGTGCACGCCCCGGCAGATCTGACCACGACTTGTTTGAACGTCCCCTGCGCCGAGTCAGTGCAGGAAGCCGTGCAGCTTCGCCTCGCCCGCCCGCACGTCATGCACGACACGAACCGAAACTAGAATCAGTTTCGCGGTTGGGGGTTATGTTTCCCTTGGGTCGCACCCCCAGCCTACGACCTCCATCCACACTTCCATATCTCGGCTCTCCCTCCCATCCTCCCTCCCTGTCCCTCTCCCGCCTCCCTGCCCCTCCCTCCCTCTGCCTCCCCTCCCTCTCCATCCTTCCCTCCCTCTCTCTCCCTCCATGCCACTTTTGCCTGTGCTGTGCTCAATGCGTCGCTGAAAGCTGTTCCTTCTAACAAAAAACAGTTCCGAACAAATCACGGCTCACACACTACCAGAACACCCAGAAAACACTTCCCCATCAGCATTGAAGGAAACCCCCCCTGCTTAGGGGGTGTTTCAGCCCAGCCTTGTGTGCAGAGTGGCGCGCCAACGAATCAAGTTTAGCTGACGCAGCAACTTCCTCTTCATGCATCGGTGCACCCATTCACCGCACTGGCTGGGTTGTCGCTCTGCTGCCCCACCCCTCCCTCCCCCTCCCCCGTCCCATCCCTGTCCTCTCTCCCCGCTGTCCCTTCCCTCTCCCCCTCCCATTTCTGGCTCGGGGCCTGTAGCCATTTTGGCTCAAGCCGTCCACAGCGGACAGCCTCCCGCGGATCGAGCTGGTTTGGCACCGTGCCAAGCCAGCTGGCTTGGCACCGTCGGTCTCCCAGTCTGGAGCTGCTGGTGGCGCGCCGCAGGTGGAGGTGGCTGTGGGACTCGCCCCTGGTGCGTGGCGCGATGAAGGAAGAAGCGCGGCCGCACTGCGGCAACGGCGCGCGCGGGCTGTCGCGTCAGCCTGACAGCCTCGTCCAGGGCTCGTCGAGGAGCTAGAGGCGGCCAAGTTGAAGGACGACCCGCTGAACGAGCCAACCAAGGCTTCTCTTCAGCGAGCCCGAGGTGGGGGCGCGGAGGAGGAGGAGGAGGAGGAGGAGGCGGAGGCGGAGGAGGAGGAAGGAGAGGAGGATGAGGATGAGGATGAGAATGAGGAGGAGGAGGAGGGGAGGAGGAGGAGGAGGACGGAGGAGGAGGAGGAAGGAAGGAGTAGGAGGCAGGGCGCGCTCATCTTTTCCTCTCCCGAGGGGCCAGAACCAGATTATGTAGGAATCGACAGCCAGCTGAGATCTCAGCGAATTGGGAAGGCAGCGCGGAGGATTCGGCCTCGAGCCGAGGTCAACTGAGCAGAGGCTTCGCAACAGCACCACCGTGAGACGAGGCGGCACGCTGCGACACGGCGAGGAGGTGGAGGGGAGGAGGAGGTAGACTTGAACCGCAACACCAGCGGCCGACAAGCACGAACGCCCAGCAATGTACTTCGGAGAAGCTCGCTCTGCAGGGCGCGCTCATCTTTTCCTCTCCCGAGGGGCCAGAACCAGATTATGTAGGAATCGACAGCCAGCTGAGATATCAGCGAATTGGGAAGGCAGCGCGGAGGATTCGGCCTCGAGCCGAAGTCAACTGAGCAGAGGCTTCGCAACAGCACCAATTCCCATTCTATGCCCTGGCCGTTGAGGCCGTCTTCAGAGGGCAAGCAATCACATAAAGTCACTGGCGCGCGAGCTGATTCAGACAACTTGCTTCGATGGCCCCGGCTGAGGCCCACAACCACTTGGCCCCTTCAGTGCACATGCCAGACGGATAGGGCTCGGCGCGGGAGGTCCATTTTTGAGACGACCCCGGGATCGCGCCGGAAAGGTGGACGCGGGCCCCCCCCGGAAAAATCACACACACCCTGGCGGGAAGAACAGAGACGAGAGAAAGAGGGAGGAGCGAGCTGGAGGTGCCAGGCCAAAAATTTTGTGCGCTTGCGCCAAGGCACTTTGAATTGGCAGAAATCAAAGACATAAGCTCGGCAGGCAGGATGAGTGGCTAATCTTTTCATGTTAGGTGTGAACCATGCCAGACTACTGCTTGGATTCTCGGCGACCGCCGGGACCCCGGCCCGAATACACGAGCCAACGATCCGGCACGTGGCGAGGAGGGAGCGGTTTCCCGCCAAGGCCCGCTCGAGGCCCACAGGGTCCAGGTCGGGTCGCCCAAAAAGGTAGGAGTGGGTTCGGCACCGCCCGCGGGAGGCGACGCTCCACGTGGAGCAGGGGAAGGCCAGCCAGATCCCCCGGACCAGCTTGCTGCTGATCCACCCCGCGATCAGATCCACGACCACGGGGTTGTTGAGGTTAAAAGCGGGGTTAAACTTAGCATCGACCTCAATGACTCCCCAACCGCCACACTTGCGAAGACGGCGAGCGATGCCCCCAGTCCCCGAGAACAAATCAAGGAAAACTTGGCCTTTGCGGGGAGCAGCGGCGGAGGCGGCCGAAAAGGCTTGAGACCATGCTCGGTGGATGGCGTCCCGGCTCAGGCGAGTCGCGGAGTCGAGGGTGTCGCCAGCCTTCCAGAGTCCAGCACCTCGGGCGGCGGTGCTCAACCCCTGCGCCCTGGTGGCGCTTGGCAGCGCAGCCGCCCGGAGAAGAGGCCGGCGAGGTTGGCCTCGACCCACTCGCCGAACGCCTTGATCTCGGGGGACAGCTTCTCGCACTCGGCCAGGTAGCGGGTCCCCTTGCGGTGCCGCCGCGTGCTGGACTCGCTCAGGTGCCTGAGCCGCTCCTGGACCGCTCCGAACTCCCTCGCCTTGAACGGCACGTCGTGGGAGGCGGCCCCGTGGCGGACCCGGCACGGGGGCGCGTCCTCGAGCCCCGCCAGGCTGGCGCACGCAGCGAAGTCCTGACGGAACTTCGGGCCGGAGAACGGCCACAGAGGCTTGTCCGCCTGGCTCCGCGACTTCAGGGCCTTCAGGGCGAAGCTCACGCTTTGCACGGCCTCCGACTCGAGCACCATCCCCTCGTCGAAGTGGCCCGTCTTGCTCCAGTCGGGCAACTCCTCGGGGAACAGCAGAATGGCCCACCGGTTGATCCGGCTCCGCCGAGCTGGCGCCACCAAGGACCCACCCGCCATGCCAATCAGGTCGCTGGGCAACCTGAGGCACGCGCCCCAGGCGACGAGGAGGCCGAGGCAGAAGTCGAGCAAGCCGCAGAACACGCCGGCCCCGATGATCGCGAAGACCCCCTGCTTGGGAAGTGGCCTGCGGGTCTTGCCGGGAGCCATCTTCTTGAAGCCCTTGAGCGCGGCTCGGCTGCCCTCCAGGGCCCCTGGCCGCTTCAAGCCCTGGCTCGGGTGAAAGAAGAGGACCGCCGCCAAGGTCTTCTCGCCCTGGTCCCGATTCCAGCCGTCGAAGAACAGGTGGTCCAGGTAGCTGGCGAGGGGCCGATCTAGGTCGGCCACGGTGCTGATCCTCAGCTCCTCCCCCCGACTCCAGTCCAGGAAGTCGGTGTAGGCCCGCTGGTACTGCAGCTGTGTCCCGTGCCCCGCTCGAGAGGTCTGCAGGAACGCCATGCCCTCCGCCGCAGCCCTGGAGGCTGCGGGCAGAAGGCGGCGGCGATAGGCCGCACGACGAGCCTGCAGGGCGGAAGCTCGCGCCGTCCTCTTGGCCCGTGCGGTCCGTCCGCCGCGAACTGCAGCGGCTGCGGTGGCTCCCTGAGCCCGGACTGCTCGAGCGACTGGACGGGGTGGACGAGCTGGCACGGCCACCGCCGCGGTCTCCGCTGTCGCCGATGGGCTCGACGTCGCACCGCGCCAGGCCGGCGGGGCGGGCCTCGGGATCGAGGCCGTCGCCGAGCCCGCAAAGCCCGAGCGGAGCTGCAAGCTGTCCGCGGGCCCGCTGCACGACGGCCCGCTCGAGCTCACGATCGAAGGCGGCGCCGGCCGAAAGGCTCGCGCCGCCCGCGCCTCCAGGCCTGGCCCAGGCCGCCGGAGCATCGCGGAACGCCGGCCCGCGCGGGTCGCGCCTCCAGGCGCCGGCGCGGGCCGAGAGGCTGCGAGAGGGATCGTCTGCAGGGTTCAACTCTGATGCAATCCATCGGACCACGAATGATGTGTTTGAGAGAATAGAAAGACACAGTAACTCCTGACATGTTCGATTCAGCAGTGGAGATGTCGAACGCCCCTTTCCCGTAGCTAAGACCACAGACATACTGTCGCACAGAAGCAGATGACGGCGACCGAAGCTGCTGATGTTTCGTAGCTTGTGCCGGGCCCCCATCACAAGGGCCCGCCCCTCCGCCCGCGTGATATTCTCCGACGAGGCGAACCGGCCGAACAAAACGGTGGACCAGGTGTCGAAATCCCCGATCTGCTCCCCATCGATGTGGAAGAAGTCGGTGACCCCACGGCGGGCTCTCACTTGGGAACTTCGAAGCTTGGAGGGGCCCTGAGGGGCCAGCCCGAGACTCTGCTCCCGGGCGCAAATGGCATCCTCGACGCAGTGCCTCCACTTCTCCGCACGGCTGGCCACGGCTCGAACTGCCTCCGAGTCCCAAGCCCGCTCGCAGACGCCGAAACCCCCGAAGTCGAACTCGGTGGCCCCGGAGGCGTCGGAGGCCATCGCGCACGGGTCGAACGGCCTCTTGGTGTCGACAGCGGCGAGCGGCAGAAGTGCTGCCGCGATCCGCAGCTCCCGAGTCACGCAACTCCAGAGACGCCACCGCTGCTCCCCGGCCATTTCACAAAAACGGAAGGCACTGCTGAGGATAGACAGAAGCTTACGTTTCAACAGGAAGGC